GTGCACTTTCAGTCTGACCATGGATAAGTTACTTAACTTAGTAAACTTCATTTTTCTCATTTATAAACAAAATAATAACAGCACTGAACTCATTGGGTTGTTTCCAGAACTAAGAGATAGTGCACTGGAAGTCCCCAGCACAGTTTCTGGCACTGTGAGAGCTCACATGTTAACAGTGATTAAGGTTCTTTATATAATTCTTTGATTTAAGCAGCCATCAAAAAACTTCAAATATCTTTCTCCCCTCCTCTTTTCTCTTGTGGGATACACTTCAATTAGGCCTTACACCCAGGAATAAGGGATAAAAGAACAAGTGATTAAACCATTTCTATGATCTTAATTACCACTAATTTAATGAAACCCTTAGTGTGGCAGAATAAAATAGTTTCTGCAAGTCTGTTCTATCAAAAGACCGTTTGGGGAGTAGAGAGATTGTCAAGGCAAGCTGGCAGGAATTATAAGCATCTTTTGATTCCCATCCACATGTCGTTTCTCATTACAAAAAGATGACCTATGACTTATCTAGAAACATCTGGATACTTTGAGGGATCTTACAAGATCTCTCTTAAGAAAAGATTTGAACATACAAAGTGCTTGATAAATAAAAGCATAATTATGACCTTTCAAGTAGAGTTGAATGCCACTTTAGTCAAGTCTTTCAGCGTTCTCCAGGATTTAAAAGCATCACTAAGCTGTTGCTTGACCTCATCTAGTTGTTCGTCCTAGTAAGAAGATGGGAAGCATTCGTGCAGCCACCTTTTCTAGAGGATGTTATTAGGAGGGACGCTTGACAATGAGTCCTTCCGGGAATCTCTGGTGGTTATAATACTGTGTAATTGTGGGAGCTTCTGGAGTGCTCGCATGTCCTTGAACTCGTGTCTGCTCCTCAAAGGGAGTGCGTTTGGTATAGTGTTTTTAGTTTCAAACAGCGGGCACAAAATTAGTGAATTCAAGCAAAATAAATAAATAAATAAATAAATGAAAAGCAATAGGAAAGTCAAAACCTTGGAGGGTTTTCATGATTATGTTATTAGAGTGTTGCCATTAATGAACCTTAAATCCACTTACTCCAAGCCAGGTTTCAAATACCTGGCAGAAAGAATCTGAGTGCCTAGGTGGGCTATGTATCATCCACACCTGGAAGAATCGGCCCCATGTGGGGCAGTTCTCAGAGACGCAGGAAAATGAAGCTGGGTTGGTGCTTCAGGAGGGTCCAGCACAGAAAACGTGTGCCAACTACACATCACTGAAGTACATGTGATCTCCACGAAAGTGCCAGAGATGAGGGCAGAGACCTAACTTCCACAAAAGGAAGACATCCATTTTTATTGTTGTTGAATATATCCAGACTAAAATGTTTTTATTTGCTAAGAAAAACTCAGTATGGAGCTTACACCTGCGTTTTGATGGCCAGGCCATACCAGATGTTTCATGGCGTCTGTATTCAATAGTTCATTTACATTGAACCAGTAGGAAGAGGAAAGCTGTCTAAGATGTTCCTTAGGGACTGGGTGAAGTTAATGATAGATGCTCTCTTGAAAGAGTCCCCTGGAACCTGTTTCTTATCTGGAGAAGTGAGTATAACATATGCTCATCAATTGCAATAGGAATAGCTGCTTATTTACAAAATTGAGTCCTCTTATGAGTCCCTTTTGTCATAATAGTATTAATAAAATAACTGGCCCGTCTCTAAGCATGGCAGGATTTTCCAGTGAATGACCCTAGATCTCTCTCCAGAAACAATCTAGATGGACCTTGTCCTGGTGGTGGGGGAGCCGTGCCTGAACTCAATTTCTCATAGGAAGTTGAATCCCCAAAATCACCAGGTGCTGAGAAGCTCGTATCTTCTATCAGTGCCCCCAACTACCTGACTTATTTTGCTTGGCAGCTGAATGTAAAACATTCATTCCCGCAACCAAAGTTGCTTTCACACCTGACCTGCAAAAAGGAGGAGGAAGCAGTGCAAGGTCCCTTTCCTGGAGCCCAGCTGTGTACCGGCCCAACCATGCCTCTCTGAAGGGTGTGGTGCAGCTGGTTACCCATGAACCAGTTCACCGCTTGGCTCCACATTCTCATCCTCAGCAAACTTGTGTTAACTCTGGATTCTTTGCGCAACACATACTTATGCCTGAAGTCATATTTAGAAAGGTTACAGAAATCAAGAGACTAGAGGTAGAATTAAATGAGATTTGCTTGAATTTCTGTGTTTGTTCTCAGAGAGGAGTACACACACACACACACACACACACACACACACACACGTATATTATTTTAAAGGGCCAGGGTCTCCGTGTTCCCCAGGCTGGTCTCAAACTCCTGGGCTCAAGTCATCCCACAGCCTTGGCCTCCTCAAGTGCTGAGATTACAAGTGCGAGTCACCATGCCTAGCCCTAAAGTTCTTAAGAGGCAAAGAAGTGGTGTTTGGCAGAAGACTTCCATGATTTGTTTTCGAGGGAGTTTAATTATTGCTCTTAGGTTTTGTGTATGCAGGGGATTGAACATCTCTATCAATAAGAGTGTCCCTTTCTTTCCATTTCACATATATTTGCTTCCAGTAAGACCAGGGTACAAAGACAAGAGATGAATACAATATTGATTCAAGGTTCTGTGTGGATCCAGGACGAAGGTCTTGCAAGTATGATTCTCTGTTTTTTCTTGTTCTTCTTGTTGTTGTTTGAGACAGGGCCTTTCTCTGTCACCCAGGCTGGAGTGCAGTGGCTCAATCATTGTAACCTCAAACTCCTGGGCTCAAGCAATCCTCCTGCTTCAGTCTCTGGGGTAGCTAAGACTATAGGCATGTGCCACCACACCCAGCTAATTTTTTTTTTCTTTTCTTTTCTTTCTTTTTTTTTTTTTTGTAGAAATGAGGTCTTGCTATGTTACTCAGGCTAGTCCTGAACTCTTAGCCTCAAGTAATTCTCCTGCTTTGGCCTTCCAAAGTGTTGGGATTACAGGTGGCAGCCATTGCACCTGGCCACAAGTATGATTATCTCATTGTCATTACTCTGCCAAGAATGTTTTCTCCTCTCTTCCTACTATGCAGTCCAAGTCTCCAAATCCCTACTTTGATTTAATTTCCACTTTTAAGATATGAAACTTCTTTACCATCTACTTGAACACCACTGAAGGGAGAGTAAAAACATAATAATTAGCCACTTTGGATGCAAATTTGTTACTGTGATGGCTGCTCAGCATTTAAACTCTTTTCCTATATGAGGACTCTGTCATTGTGTGAATCTTCGTGGAGGATAAGGTCTTTCTTCCCTACAAAAATAGACAGGACCAGATAACTTGCACTACTTACCCCTTGACAGCTGGGGCACTATCATAAGATCAGAACTTGAGCAATAAGAATTGTCACTGGAGGCTGGGCGCGGTGGCTCACGCCTGTAATCGTAGCACTTTGGAAGGACAAGGTAGGTGGATCACTTGAGGCCAAGAGTTCGAGACCAGCCTGGCCAACATGGTGAAACCCTGTCTCTATTAAAAATACAAAAATTAGCCGGGCTTGGTGGCGGGTGCCTGTAATCCCAGCTACTAGGGAGCCTGAGGCAGAAAAATTGTTTGAACCCAGGAGGAAAAGGCTGCAGTGAGCCAAAATCATGCCCACTGCACTCCAACCTGGGTGACAGAGTGAGACTCCATCTTAAAAAAAAAATTGTCACTGAAATAAATTATTAGTCTCAATTCTTTACCCCATCCTGTGCCCATGACCTTTGCTATTGGCTTCACAGTTCTTTTCACAATGTTTTTCACTGCCCTTTGACTTTGGGTTTGCCATATGACTTGCTTTTGCCAATGGAATGTTCACAGATGTGATGTTGCAGAGGTGTGAAATGTATTTACACAATCTGGCTTGCCATCTAGAACTTCTGCCATCACAATGAGAAGAAATGTCAGACAACTCACTGATCTAATAAGAATGAGACAGGAGTTGAGATTGAACCCACTCTGAAGTCTGGAGCCAAGCACAGCCAAGCACAGCTTAGAGATCAGCTAACCCCTGCCTGACCCACAGACAAATGGGCAAGAATAAATTGTTGTTTTAAGCCATTGAAGTTTGGAGTGGTTTTGTTATATAGCACTAATGTGCAAACAGTTGACTGATCCACTCCATCTTGGAACTTTGAACGTGTAGCCCTTGATGCAGAGAAACAGAGATGATGCAGAATTTATTTTATCCACAGTGATACCACATTTGGGGACAAGTGTGGAAGCCAAGTGACAAGGTCCAGTGTTCAGTAGTGACAATACTGAACTGAGGTTGGTATTGTTGGCTGAGGTTTCAGCTACCCAGTTTTTTTATGTTCTGATTTTCTTCCCTGGTTTGCTGGCCTTCTGGGTTATTTTACAACGGACAGGCTTCCAATAAACTTATTTCCTGCTTAATTTTACTGGGCCAGTATCTGTTATTTGCAGATAAGAGCCCTGTCTGAGTCAGCCCTTATGTTTCATGGGAAGTAGAGGATTGGGAAAAGCAGAGTGAAACTGGGCATTTGTGGAGAAAGCAGGGACATTAGTCCATGAGTCCACAGTTCTGGGGACAGGGTGTAGAGGAGAATTTCTCTATACTGCAGGCAGAATTTTCTTTTTATGCCTCAGAGAACTTTCGACAGTTGCTGTGTTCACACAGAGCACGTAAGTAATGAGGTAGGTGAGTAGGTTCCAATTCAAAAGGAGTGATCAAAGTTTTATGTTTTCATTTTTTAACCAGTAAACTATGGTCATCAAGAATCTGCAAACTAATAAATTATGCCTCACTGAGACTTCTATTTACTAATTTTTGATACTTAGACTCCTTTCTGATATGCTAGGAACTAGTGAGGAAACAGAATAAATCATCAGGTAGGAAAAATATTTCAATGGAGAAACATAACTTTCATATAATGTGCTTCTTCATCATGTCATTCATTAACCTGAATTCAGTAATTAACAGGATTACATAAAAAACATTTAAATGTCCAAAGCCATATTTAACTATTATACAATCATTCACTTACAGATTTTCTTACTGAGTTGTGAAGAGGAGTATAAACATTTTTTACTAGTTGTTTTTTGTCTGGCTCTTGAATATTCTTCAGGCTTTCATGAGCCTCAAAGTGTACATAATTGAGTCGTGTAATAAATGCCAGATTCTCCAGGATTTTTATAAGGTACGTGAAGCGAATGTAGATATGCTTGCCATTATTGTCCTAAACCAGAAAATCAGGGAAAAGGATAAAGTTGGTATCTTTGTGGCATGTAATCTCAGGTAGCTGCATTTTATTTTAAGATAGATGAGACTTGAACTTCTTCACTCAAAAAATAAACTAATTTACTTGGCCTTAATTTTATATTTAACACATGGCATTTGTTTCTGGAAATTGGATCACACTGTTGTATATGTAGGACTTTCATTGACTAGTATATACATTCTAAGTTTATTATCTTTTGCCTTTACACAAAACCCTTGGCAGACTATTCTTAATGCATATATTTAGGAGATAGCTGAGTCTGTTTCTTGTCAGTTCTAAATTTAAATGATTTACTTTTCTTGATGGTTGAAAATGCTTGAAGTCAGGGCAATGGAGGTAAATACAGTCCATTTGTGCTTCTTCAAAGAATTAAGAATTTACATAATAGATGAAAGTTTACTAAATACTGTGCACATTCTGGGTTTCCAAAGGCAAATAAGAATTGGCCACCCTTAAATACTTTTAATTCCTATGAAACATCTAGTTTGAGAAAGTAGGACAGTAGGAGGAAAAAAGGGAGACAGAGCTACAGATTCAGACAGAAAATGACAAAGACTTTTCATTTTTCACGGTAATGAAACAAAGAGAAAATAATCATTAAAATAAGGTGTAATAAGGGTCTGATGGTCTGAAAATATCAAGCATAAATTTAAAAAGTAGGTCATGAAATTCAAATATATATACTTGGCATTTACCTTACCACATTTTTTTTAACCTAAAAATACAGATTTTAAAAAATAAAAGGAAAGAAAACTGTTATTCCCACTTCCTAGAGAAAATTATTATGTTGGTATTTCTTATAATTCTTTTCTTGTAAATGTGTGTGTGTGTGTGTGTGTATGCACCCATGCATAAAATATTTTGTAACATAATTTTTTTCTTTTTTTTTTCCTTAAAATTTGAGATGGAATCTCGCTCTGTCACCCAGGCTGGAGTGCAGTGGCACGATGTCAGCTCACTGCAACCTCCACTTCCTGGGTTCAAACGATTCTCCTGCCTCAGCCTCCTGAGTAGTTGGGATTACAGGTGCACACCATCACACCCAGGTAATTTTTGTATTTTTTAGTAGAGACGGGGTTTCACCATGTTGGCCAGGCTGGTCTCGAACTCCTGACCTCAAGTGATACATCGCCCCTGGCCTTCCAAAGTGTTGGGATTACACGCGCGAGCCACTGCGCCTAGCCTGTAACATGATTTCATCACTAAATATATTGTGTCTATCCTTTTATGTTGAAAGTTTTACTTCAATATACATTTAACAGCCATGTAAATATTTCATTTTGTATAATAAAAAAATTTCAAAATGTATCTCCTACAACTTCCATTATTAAAAATGGAACTATAGCCCTACTGCACCCTGAATGAGTGAAAAACCGGAAGGCTGTAAAATAGATGGCCACATGCCCTCCAGGCTGTCGCATCCAGGAGTGCTTTGCTTAATCTGAATGTTCTGTGGTATGCCCACAGCCTCATCGAACTTTTCAAAGCTCCTGTCTATTACTTTATCACTTCCCAGATCCTAATTTCTTTTGCTCAGCCTGGTGAGCATCAGTTTCCATACCGAGAGCATTGAAATGATCGTTGCACTTCTCCAGCTTGCCCAGTGTCCTGCAGTGTTTAATAGAATTAGATTTAAATATGATACTTCAGCAGATGATTCCCGCATCTAATGCACCTCATTCTAATGTACTTCCTCTGAAGATTCATGGTAGGAGGGAGTTATTTAAAATGCGATATGCTCTACCACACCAAAAATTTATAAAACATAAATGTTAAGCTTTTTAAAGGTGTAATTTCAGGTTACAGGTAGGGTAGAGTGGAGATATATTTCCCAGTCACATTGAAATAATGAGAAGTAAGAAGTCAACTCTTCTGCCTATATGTACTTATCCTGAACAAAAGATCTGTTCATGTAGATCTAAATAAGAAACTTAGGATACCATGCCCATTTAACTTAAGTACATGTGATATAAATTAATCTTAAGAAGACATCAATGTGATTTGTGCCATGTTGTCCTTTTAAATATATCACTTCCCAAATGGAAACAATTTAAGTATCCAATAACAGGGGACAGGTTAAATACATTTTATTGTATTCTATGGTGGGATATTCTCCAATTATTTAAAAATGATATAATAGCAAAAATCTGTAATTTGTGAAAAGACACTCATGACATCGTTAAATGGGGAGAAAAGAAGGCTACCAAATAGCATGAGCTATTCTATCCTATAAAAAATATTTTTATCTGTACATGGATATCTTTATATGATCCATTATGGTGGTTATTTGGGACTGGTAAGATTACTGGAAATTTTTTTTTTTCTTTGTATATTTGCATTTTCTGAATTTTCTACAATTTAGTTTTGTAAGGGGAAAAATTTAAATTAATTTCAGGTATGAGACTAATGGTGTCATACGTTTGCCGTCCATGTGATTCTGTAGGGGGCTTATTGAACCCTCTCTCAAGCACAGGGCTTGTAATTCAAAGGAAAATAAGAAGCCTCTCCTGCTTAGTGACTCGTACTGTGCTAGGATGATCACAGTTAGGAGCTGCTACATGAGCGTGTTGCCTTGGATCACAGCAAGTAAAAACACAAGGAGGGTAGAGTAGGGGCAATAATAAGCAATGAAAGGCCTAGAAGTAATTTTCCTTCTATTTTTTTTCCTTATCTTATTTCAAGTTGATGTGGATAATTCCCTTTGCATAGTGTAGACAATGGATGAGTTGGTTTTGCCGGTATTCATAGAAAACAAGGTTGATCTAAGAATTACACAGAGAAAGAGTAACAAGTACATGTTCCATGAATGTTTCCTACTGAAGTAACCACTGTTATAATCACAGAATGTCTCCTATAACTCTTCAAAAAGCCCAAAATGAGCCCTTGCATAATTTCTAGGAAGGTAAATTCCTGAATACATTTCACAAATGTAGAACTTCCAGCTACAATAGGATTTCCAAGATCATGACAGGAAAAAACCAAATGTGTCTTCATTCTCTAAGAGCTCTTTGTCTATGTTTAAGCAACTGCTGAGGACCAGTGAAGAACAACTTGTACTGCCAATACAGGACAGTCCTTGGTGTTCACAGCTGGGAAGGCTTTTGAAGGTTTTCTAACCCAAACCTGAGGGAGATGAGACTTACCCCTAAGTTCTGTATCTCCCATAGGGATTGCAGTTCCCTCCCACCACTTCCCATCATGTAAATGGAAAAGGAGAACTGCAGTTTCTTAGGCTGAAGTTTTATCCGTCACTATTTTCTCATAATGCCTTTTGGCATTTGTGCTATAACTGAGACTATATACACTTCATTGAAATGAAGATGTGGTAGTAGGAATTGCAACATGAGCTTTGACTAGACTATGTGGACAAGAATACCAAATAGCATGGACTCAGTGATATTTGTCCCCTTTAAAAGAAAATTAAATATAACAACTGAGAGCTTAGTTTTAAAGCTCAACATGTTTATTTTCTGAAACCTGGTTTATCTAGATTTCCATGACTAATTAAAAGATGACAAATTTGGATGGAGCAGAAAAGGTCCCCATGGAACAGGTTAGTGTTAATATACTTAAGTAGAAAGAAAACTTCTGTAGAATTAGTGATACATGACTCAGATAACTGTCAGGTTCTGTAAAGTCTGCTGTTCACACATAACAGCATAGCTCACCCGTACCTTCCAATGCACTTATTTCCTTGTAACTCCATTGGGTGTGATATTCAGAGTGTCCAAGATCATCTATCATTTTGTTGGACTTCTTCACAGCCCCTCTGTTCCCTGGTTGAGTTATTTATGTAACATTATTCCACATGGGAAAGCCCAGCTGTTAAAAGTTTTAGAATCAGAAATAAGAACACATTTTTATTAGATCCTTCATCTTGTCTACAGTGGGTTTTTCTTGGTTTAAATAATGATAGCAGCATACTAGCTCCTTGCTATAACTCACTCCCCTGTACGTGCTTTTGGAGAGGAAAGTGGCCTTTACCTTCTTTGGGGGTTCCAGAAGGGGGGCTTATATCAAACTAAATATGAAATCAATGTGTGGGATTGTATAATCACCTGTTGAGTTTGAACTCATCCACCTGGGGTGGGCACTGCAGAGGTAAAAATGATAGAACTGTTATAGATTGGTGGTGGCATGAGAGGTATATGAGAAAGGAAAAGGGGGAGTTAACAAGATTAGAAAATTCTAAGCACAGAAGGAAAGTAGCATTGTTTAAAAAAAAAAATAGGGTGACCCAGAAGAAGCAGGTTTAGAAAAATTCTGTTCGGGATATATTGAGTTGCTGGCAAGAGATCCAGGTTGAAGGGTCTTAAGAGAGCATGATGACTTTGTAACGTGTCAACTTGGTTAGGCTGCTCATTTCCTAGGACTGTCTTCCCTGTAAGGTTCTGGTTAGTATGGAAGACAGGACGGAGTCTTGGGTGAAATTTGTTCAACAGAGGTAAAGTAGTAGTCATTTGGTAGCTCGATTGTGATGTCACAGATGTGCTGAAAACCTTGTTACTGTGAGGCAGCAGGTGGGCCTATAACTGCTCTATCTTCCCCTGGATCATCCATCAGCCTCTCTGACTTCCTGGCCATGCATAGGTTCAAGAACGGCACTAACTTCTTTCTGCAAGACATCCACAGTACCAAGGTCAATGACAAGAACTGACACAGTTTCTACCCTTCCCTTCCCTTCCCGATTACCTGCCCCGTGGATTTCACGTCCAACTTTAGAAACAAAGACAACAGCCTTACAGAGGCTACTCTACTAGCTCCTTTAATTGTGTAAAGTCAAATCCTTTGGACGAGTTGCCCAGCCTTCTCTATGGTTCAAACGCCCTGTATGATTTGGCCTATTTTTTCTTTCCAACTTACTCCATTCTTTGCCTCACTCAGTAACATTAAATAGCATTCTTCATGCTAGTTTTCCATGAATTTCTCCACCCCTTCAAGTCCCAAGCTCTTTCCTGTCTCTGCCTCTTTGTTCATGCTCTTCATCTGCAGTAAGGTCTTAGCCTAACCATCAACTTCATGGACTGGCATTCCCTTACCACCTTACCACGCCATCTAAACCGTCCTTCAGGTGTTTCCTTCAGGGTTCTAGAGGTTGTGTATACTCATCTAATTAGCTATTTGGTTAGTTGATCTTTACTAGATTCTAGGTTCCATGACAGCAATAGCTGTATTTGTCTTATTCCACATTGTATATCCTGTCCTAGCACTGTCTGGCACACAGCCTGTTCTCAAAGGATTCATGTAGGGATGAAATGGGAGATATGGAGGCCTCTACTTTGTGGGTTTGGAATGACAGAGGGATTAATTTTCTATTCTTTGGGGGTGCGAAGGGGGTAAGGATTATCCTGTGTTCTAGCCTGATTTCTGTTCTTCATGGCAGGTCAAACTAAGTGCCTAGGGATTCACTAAGTTGTCTATGTGAAATTTCTTTGTTACATGTTAACAGATTCAATAAAGCTTCTTTGAAGATGCTTGTCATCTTCAGAAACACTTTTTAAAAAGCAAGCAAACTATTTCTATCAAATAAAATCAAGAGAAATATGATCTTCTACTCTTTCAGAACCCGAAAGAGTTGTACTCTATTCTCTGTAACTTAATTTCTAAGGTCAAACCTTTTGGTATTATCCTGAGCCTCCAGATCACTTTTAAAACTTCGTTACTGCAAAGATTCTTTCTTTGATGCTGGCCTTCTTGAAATCCCTCATGTCTGTTTCCTCATTTCTTTTTAATTTTTTTTCAGTATTTAGCCTAGCTATAGTAATCAAAGAAGTTGAGGTGGCTGATAAATTACAGGTTTTAGCACTTTGGGAACAAACCCGACATCCCTACACATTTGCTTTTAGGCTACTTCCCTCATCAAAGCTCAAACAGTAGTGTCTGGGTATTACGCAGTTTCTGAATGAGTGTTCTCATCCTCCACAAAGTGTGAAGTAACTTACTCTTGTTTCCAGTATTTATGTTCTCTCCCTTGCCCTTGCCCTCCCTTCCACCCCGAGATGAATCTGTTATGGGTAAGGACATTAATGTAAACCCTCTGAATTAAAAACAGATTTTGCTTTCCTGGTTATATTAAATTCGGTGATCTTAAGCAAAGCCATTTTGAATTCTTTTTGTTATTAATAGAAATTGGAAATTTAGTGATTTTCTTATAATGTCTTTTATCAACTGGTGGTATAATGGAGCAGAGGGGAACGTTTACAATATATATTGCAGGAAACAACTTAGATACTGCCTTTCAATTTGTATCTGAAGTATTTTTTTAGATCTAAATCTAACTAAAAATACAATTGTTACAATTCATTTGGTTAGGTAAATTCCTTCTAGTAACAGGTCTGACAAAGGTTTGTCTGTGTTTACTCAGTTTTGGGAAGCTAACGGCAAGAAGACCACATTCCTCAAAGCAAGACATAAGCCTTTTCATATTTCTCAGTAAATACTAATAATAGTATAAATTGGCTGAACAATCTGACTCTGATGGACAATGCTCACAAACAGATTTTAGACAGAAAATAATAGCTACTTGCCAGAATGTTTGGGCATCTGAAGGCTCCCAGTTAAGGACAAGGTTGAAAATAACTGTCAGTAATTGATAACTGTCAATTTCATTCAGAATCTGATTTCCACCATCTCTGGGAAAATTAAAGACTTCACACCCAAAGCAAACTACAGGAGTCATTAAAGGCTCTTAAAAGGATACTGAATAATAACAGCAATATAATAGATTGCATAGCTAGTATGATGTAAAACAACAATAAAAATAATACCCCAAAACTAATCTTGGCCATCCATGAATGAAAATGCAGGTAGGGAGGAAAAAAAAAAAAAAAAAAAAAGAACATTTCTCTATTCTTATTCTACTAAAAAGGTGGAAATTTCCATTTTTTAACCTCTAAAAACTGCTTTCACACATCTGACAATAAGACAAAAATAGGAGGCTCTTGAGAGTTCATCTTGACTTTTATTACACACTAGACATATATGAACTAACCAGAGATGTGTATGATTCTCTGTACTCTTAAAATCACAGGAAATATATTTCCACCTCCCCCTTTTTTTTCTGATATTGGAGTAGCATTTCAGATTTTGGGGATTAGCTCAGGGCAAAGTAAAGGTCATGGAAGGCAGTGTATAAATAACTTTAATTATGAAGCTACTTTTCAGAAGCTAGTAGTAACTTGCTTAGTAATAATCACAAGGTTGGGCAGTGTTCACAATGCTGGTATTAATCAGCTACATATTTTGAACATCTACTATTACTGGATACCAAAGAAAGTGAGTTATTTAAGAATCTTCCATTCTTGTTATAAGCTTCCTATGATCCAGTAACTTCTCAAAGGTTTTGCCAAAAGCGTAAGTCCTTGCTTTTTGGGAATTTTTATTTGTGCACCCAGGAATTGTAAATGCAACCATCACTGCTTCTTGTGCAGGTGTGTGCTTTAACAATCAGGGCTGCTTTTGGCATCAAGAGTATGAGCTATTAAGAGTTTCTAAAAATACTGACCTAAGCAGTCAGTTGCCTCCACCTTATATACTGTTCAGACAAGTCTTTGGAAAGTATACTACTGTATTCCTAGTCCAAAATAAGGTAGGCATGAATATATTCAACCTTGTTTGCACACACACCAAGGAAGAATTTAAATTTTTGCCCTTAAGTAGTTTTGTGTTAGGCAGGAGGAAAAACATAGTCAGTTTTGAGGTAGGTCATCAATAGGAAGGAGAAAAATACAAGACAGTCTAAGATCTAACCTATGTCCACCTTTCTAGGCTTACGTCTTAATACTCCCAAAGTGGCACAAGCTAGGTTATTTCTAGTTCTTAACAGGTTACTGTGCTTTTGCACAATGCTCTCAAGTTCAGCTTAAGCAATGCTCCTCTGGAAGTTCACACCCTAACTGAATTGTCACTCTTCTTTGTTTTCTTCTAGAATCCTGGGATTATCTGAATAATAAATGCCATCACATTGTACTTTCAATACATACTTCATCTCTTTCACCTAGTGCACTACGAATTACTATGGGAAAAATCTGTGTGCCTATCTTCCTGTCTTCAGTGATGATATACTGAAAGAATGGTGTAGGAACAGAAATATTCTATTTACCAGTGCTAAGTCTTTTTCACAAAACCAGGCAGAGATCTGCTCATTTTTACTCTGTGAACTTGGAAAAGTTAATTTATTCAAATCTCTATTTTGTCCTAACTAGACTGATCATCTTATTACTAAGATGAAGGAATCTATTGCAAGTCACATGTTACTATCATCCCCCGGTATGAAAGAGCTATTTTGAATTTGAACATATAAGAGCATTCAAGATAGTGCCTGGCACAGTAGAACAGGGCATTAACAAGATACTGGACTTGATCCTCAAATTATTTAAGCCATAGAAGGGATTCAGACTCTGGCCTTTTGACTGACCACCTTTTAAGACTGCTTGAAAAGACAACTCCCTTCCTATTAGTACAGCTAAAGCCAATCAGGAACTAAACATCAGCACACAAAAAATGCCAGGACAGATGGAATCAAAAGACTCTGAAGCCAAAAGGAGGCTAGGGAGAGCAACTGAACTTAGCACGCTGAGTACTTCAGTGTCCATCATCCGATCCTACCCTGTAACAACAGGTCTATGTGATAGATATTCCATCTGACCTGGAGGCCATTATCCTTAGCAAACTAACACAGAACAGAAAACCAAATACTATACGTTCTCACTTAGAAGTAGGAGCTAAATGATGAGAACTCAAGGACACAAAGAAGGGAACAACAAACACTGGGGCCTACTTGAGGGTGGAGGTTGGGAGGAGGGAGAAGAGCAGGAAAAATAACTACTGGGTACTAGGCTTAGCACCTAGGTGACAAAACAATCTGTACAACAAAACCCCTTGACATGAGATGAGTTTACCTATATAACAACCTGCACATGTACCCCTGAACCTAAAATAAGAGTTAAAAAAATAAAAGAGATATTCTATCTGATGCTTAAGTTGATCTTAAATAACCTTCTGCATCCCACCACCCCACTAAAATCACACGAGAAATATCTCAATATTCTGTGGGCTTAAAACCGCCTACACTGCCCTTTGGATTAGAGAACAGGATTCAGCGGTCTTCTTTGAAAAAAATACATTAAAGAACATGTTAATTGCTTTTATTCATACTGTGTCTCTCCCTGACTTCTCCAAGAGCTTGTGTTTCAAAAGGTCAGAATGTTTGTTGTTACAAAAACATTGCCTCCCACTGTTTAGCGTCTATACATAGCAAAAAGTTTTGTATGTTTCCACAAATTTTCCCCCAAAATTATCTCTTCCTTTACTTTCCACTTACCTCCTCTGAGATGCCAAATTAAGAAATGTCTTAGAATATCTACAATATTCTTCCTCTTTTCATATTCGATTTGTCTTAGCATATAAAAAATTAGTTGACATGGCTTTCGGAAAGTCCAGTTGGCAGCAGAGCTGGACAACAGATGGCCACCCAGAAATTAGAGTCAGAAAGGTTACTTACTCAGCATGGAGACACTGACAAGAATCCTATTTTTGAGAAACCCTGAAAATCCTTGACCTGATGTAAAGCCCAAGAGGCACTTGAGAGGAAGAACAATGATTATAACCTGATTCCCTGTCTAAAGCAAAATATACCACTTTTAACTGCACAGACATGCCAAAAATATAAAATACAGCGATAACGCGTAACAGCTCTATTGCCAAAAAAAAAAAAAAAAAAAAAAAATCCAAAACCAAACCAAACAAAAAATCGTCAGATAACAAAATACAGAAAATCATACAAAAACCAAAAAACACCCCCAAACAAAAAAACCACCACAGGCAACACACAAGCTTAAGATGTTACCTAGAATCCATTCCAAGTGGTTTAGTTTAAAATAAAAATAGGTGGCTTTCAGTTCCATACTTTGTTTCTGCAGAAATAACTACTAGCCTATTAAATTAGAAATAATTTTCTTTTCTTCAAAAAGGGAGTTTCTTCATTTTACCTTTATGATGAATTAATAGCTGCAAACAATCTAATTAATACTTCTACAACAGGTAATTTTTAGCTAAGATTTAAGTTCCTCTTAGCTCTGAAATTTTAACTGAATTTCAGTTGAACCTTAAGAAATGTTAACCATGACCTTAAAATAACTGCTCTATTGTAAAATTTAGAAGTCACATTCCCAATAATTCTCTTGCCTAGACTAAAAATTGTTGAAGGTCTCCTTTCACCACCCAAATTCAAAGATACTTATGCCACAGTACACAAATCAGTAGATTTGAAAACTATTTATCACCTTCAAAGTAACAAAAAAGATTTCAGCTCAAGTTGACAAAACACAAACTGGATTTAAAGTGCTATATTAAAAAACAAAACAAAAATACAGTTTCTTTAGGGCAATTAAAATGTTTCATTTTTGAAGCCGTGACACTAAAAATAATGAAAAACATATATAAGATAATTACAACTGTTCTTTTCATTCTAAGAATGTTGTGTTTTTCAGAGAAAGACAGCTTTCTGGTAAAAATTCATGCACAAAACACTTATGTATACTTGACAAGAGGTTTCAGAGCCTACTATGCCATGTCTAGTCTAAATCCACTAATGTTAAATATCAACATTTTTCCAATACTATTTTTAAGTTACATCTCATTTACCTTGCTCCTTAAGAACTTATAAGCTTGTTTTAAATATTTTAAATACTTGTCATAAACTAGAGTTTGCTAAGAGTAGAGGTACTCTGGTTAATGATCAAAATGGTGTGCCCAGAGGAAAAGCAAGCGCTATTAAACATGACTGCAATCCTTATCAACACAAATTGAGCCATTTTAATAAAAAAGCTAGTCCAAAAAAGGGTCTCGTTCTATAAAGATTAAATCATTTCCAAATCACAGTGAAAGGAACTTGAGTAATTAACCAATTTTGTTTTCTCCTATGTGCCTTGGAGATACCTCACTAAAATTTGGTATCTGATACAACAGAATAACATTTGCAGAATGTAATATTGTAGTGACAATACTGAGGTTGATTGTTACAGACTATTAAATGGTTACATCTTAATTATTATATAGAACATTGGTCCAATAACATAAAAATAGAGAACAGCATCTGGAAATTTATCTCATTCAATGTTCAGAGATAAAAGGGTTAACCATCCTTTCCATTATTTTCTGCAGTAAGTCCTTGTTCACAATGAAATCTGATGGCAATTAAATTCTGGCATTTTCCCCAGCTACTGTATGAAGAGGATGCTGAAGGCCATTACTATACAGCATACTGCTACATAAGGACTCTTCCGTTCACCTGTTGAAAAAAAGGAGATATTCATTTTGATTAACTGAGTAGCTAACCTGGCTATGACAAGGTTATACTACGAGAAAGGGATACATAAGAATCAAGATAACATTCTTCCCTAGGAGGCCCCCATATTGGGGGTGGGACAACGACAAAAACTAGATGCAACATAAAAAACAAGCACCATGCAGAATGGGCTAAACTATTAATATGTCAATTTATTTCGAAGAGGATCTTCTTTTCATATATTTAGAAAACCTTGAAAGCATCATTTCTTTGTCACTGTGTAAACTCAGACACTAAAAAATACAATGTAGAATGTAGGACAGAGATCCAAGAGAAACAATCTCAACTCAACTGAGGCCAAAGAAATATTGTTTATTTTCTTTCTATAAAAAGAACAAAATTTCCACCCATAAAAAGAAATTCGAAACACAATATTTGTCCTTACTGGTAGCAATTCGTGACACTTAAAGGCAAAGGGAAGGGGGAGCATTCATGGATGAAAATAAAGAGAGGATGGTCAATAAAATTGCATTTAAAAAATGGACAAATTAAAATGCTTAATTTAAAAAATTAGAAAAACTATTTCTGAGATAGTATGCTTACTCTGGGTTAGAAAAGTAGAACTAAAACCAACCACTTCTATATGAGTCAATTTTTCACATGCATTTAAGGAATGCTTGTATTTGGATGCTTTCCTCTGCACAAAGTAAATCTGAAATTGGCTTGTGAATTGTCTTGCAAATAGAGATCATGTCATTGTGAGTTAACTCAAACTCATCTTATTCTTCCCTGTTCCTTCAATAACCGCAAGGCTATACTCATTCATAAAGCACAAACATTTCTATGCTGCCGTGAGGGCAGTATAAGAAAGGAAGAAGAAACTCCTTCTAGAAATAATCCTGGGTATGTACCTGGCATCCTCTAGTAGAGATGGTTTATACTACCCTCACTTGTGCTTTTCCATGATGCTTAAAGTCAACTCTTTAATGAAACTCCTTATTCCACTTAGCAAGTTCAGCAAACTACCTTTAGAAAATGTTCATCCTGACCATCTTTATTAACTAAAATTCTCAAGGTCATTTTCATTCTTATAGCTTCCTCACTGACATGACACTGCCATATAATTGGGTTTATATATTAGTGTCTGCTATTATACACATATATAAAAAATAAACTTTTGGGGTTTTTCTGGATCTGGAAGTATTTGTTCTATCCATAGACATTTAATGGACTGCCTTTCAGCTAAAGAAAAATCTAGAAAGTGAAAGTGTTTTTACAATACCATCACCTCAATTGAAAATAAAAATCTTTTAATATTAAAATATATCTTGGGTCACAATTTGTAAACAATGCTAATTCTCTTAGAGGAAAAAGCCCAAGTCACCAAATCAAACAAAAACAACCCCATTTGTACATAAATTTCAGAAAGACTTTGTAAGCAAGCCTGTCACTCTTACTAGGGCTATATATCCTCATTGTCTCATATAGTCTTATTAAATACTTAAAAGAAATTAATACTGTCCTAAGTTTTCCAGAAGTTCCGCTTTTTCTCATCCTTCAACTTAGACTGCTATAATTTACAGATGGATTTCATTTTCCTGTTTTTACTTTTCTTAAAAGAGACTGCCATGTGGTAAAGCTAAACATCTTTAGTTGAACTTGGGTTTTAATGTTACTTTTTGTCTGGTCTTAGGTCTGTATAAGTGAATGTAAAACAGTTACTGTAATGTGATGTGTAACATGATAAGATGATTTGGCTAGGTCTTTTCCCATTAAAATTGTATCATTTCTTTGTGGATATATTCTGTGTCAAGATAAGAGAGGAGCACACGCTTGAGAAAGCAGCATATCAACAATATTTTCTAAGTCACTCTGCCAAAATGAAAAGCTAATGCTTTCACAGAATTGGCAAGAACGAACATTTAAAATGAACCATTCAACCTATGGCATTCATACAGTCAAGAGAGGAAAATGGAAATAATAAATAACTAGCCAAAAAAAAAAAAAAGGACACTAGACACTATTTATAATTAGATATAAAAATAGATCATACTACAGGAAATCATTAAAAAAGATACAAACTAGACATTCTTAAACTGAGCTATACTCTTTTCAAGCAATAATTGTGAACAAAGGGGCTGTTTGGGTGGGCTATTAAATGGAACTGTATGCACTTCTCTCATTACATAAGATGGATTTAAAATACCTTAATATTTTCTTTATGCATTAGCAACTTAATAATAAAACTGAGATGATAACTATGCCTCTTAACTCCAGACCTGCTCTTCCATTATGTTCTCTCTTTCTACTTTACTTGAGGTATTCTGACCACCGTTTCTTGGCCATATTCTTTTTCAGAGTAACTTGTCTCTGAAGCATGCAGTTTGGTGTGTATATATTTACATTTATCACTAACTATCAGTATTAACCATTGAGGATGCTCTTTTGTCATTCTTTTCTTGGTTCTTTTTGAAGTGCTTAAGATTTCTCCTATTATTTCAGGATTTGCAGTTGTTCATAACTGAGTGCCAGATAAGTCTGCATCACAAATTTCTGTAAATCTAGACTAGCCCTTCTCAACTCCAGTACTATGGACATTTTGAGCTTGATAATTCTGTTGTGATGGATTCCTTGTGCATCCTAGAACGCTTAGCAACATCCCTCACCTGTATCCACTATATGTCCCAGAGTCCAGTTGTGACTATCAAAGCTGTCTCTCTATTTTGCCAAATGCCCCGGAGTGGTAACTACTTATCTAGGCTATATCTGTGATTTTACCAGTTTAAGGTAATGATACTTACTACAAAAGAAAGACTTACACATGTCACTATAAGAGAGAACAAAATACGACAGAACACTGAGGAAGAATAGCTGAATCTGTTAAAATCATACTTATTTCTCTGGAAGATAAAGTCTGTTTCAATAGTCATTATATCAGTATTACAGCCTTGAAACAGGCACTTTTCTATGAAGTCTTTTACACTTACTCTATCATTTGCCATGACAAGAAACTGGAAAGGCCAAAGAACCTTATGATTTCATCATCACAGATTTAGAAAGGACTTCTGATAATTTAGTGTTATGCTTACAATTTCCACCATTAATGGGTCTTGCCTATCATTAAAAGCTTAAGGGAAGATAACCTGCTCTCAAAATTATTTCAATGGCGAACAACATATGAACCTTAGACGATGCTTTAAAGATTTGAAGACTAGTTATACTATAACCATCTTCAGACAAATTACATCAGTTCTCAGGTTCTCTTTCAAAAAATCTCTAAGTACAGAATATTTCATTTTATCGTGCTCTGCAGATATTGCCCCTTTGAAAAAAAACTGTCTTATGGCAGCCTTGCATTGCGCAAGTCTATTGAGGCCATTTTTTAAAAGCAGCACGTGCTCAATTTGTGTCTCTGTGTCATATTTTGGTAATTCTCCCAATATTTCACACTTTTTCATTATTATTGTACCTTTTATGGCGATCTGTGATCACTGATCTTTCATGGTACCATTGCAATGGTTGTGGGGCACCATGAACTGCGCTCATACAAGATGGCAACCTTATTTGATACATGATACACCAATAAGAAACTACAGCAAGTTATGCAGAAACTAGCTAAGATAACCAATGAAAGTAGCTAAACTAAACAACAGATGAATTTCAATGTAGACAAAATGACCTTCTATTGAAAAAGATGGCATCTAGGAATTTCACAGCTAGAGAGGAGAAGTCAGTGCCTGGCTTCCACCGCTTCAAAGAGCAGGCTGACTCATGTTAGGGGCTAATGTAGCTGGTGACTTTAAGCCGAAGTCAATGCTCATTCACCTGCTGAAAATTCTACAGCTTTTAAGAATTATGCTAAATCTGCTCTCCCTAGGCTCTAGAAATGGAACAACTAAGTCTGGATGACAGCATACCTGTTTACAGCATGGTTTACCTAATACATCAATGGAGGAAGTAACCGCAGATAATGGCGAAAAGAGGAAGAGAACTGTAATTAGAAGGGGAGCCTGAATATGTGATTGAATTACTATAATCTCATGACGAAATCTGAATGAGTAACTTCTTCTTACGAACAAAGAAAATGGTTTCTTGAGATGGAATTTACTCCTGGTGAGGATGTCGTGAACACTGTTGAAATGACAACAAAGGATTTAAAATATTACATAAACTTAGTTGATAAATCAGTGGAGGGTTTGAGAGGATTGAATCCAGTTTTGAAAGAAATTCAACTGTGGATAAAATGCTACCAAATAGCACTGCAGGTTACAGAGAAATCTTTCATGAAAGGAAGAGTCAATCCATGTGGCAAACTTCAATGTTATCGTATTTTAAGAACTGCCAGTCACCCAACCTTCAACAACCACCACCCTGATCAATCAGCAGCCATCAACATTGAGGGAAGACCCTCCACCAGCAGAATGATTGACTCACTAAAGGGTCAGATATAATCACCAGTGATTTTTAGCAACACAGTATTTTTCAATTAAGGTACACACATTGTTCTTAAAGACACACTGCTACTCCACACTTAACAGACCACTAATCTATACAAAACTTTTATATGTACCAGAAACCAAAAAAATTTGTTGACTTGTTTTATTGTGGTGGTCTGGGATTAAACATGCAGTATCTCTGAGGTATACCTGTATTACAAATACTTAGTTTGTATTTTTCAATCTCATGAGGTTTGTCTCCTTTATGGACCATCTTCTAAATTTTCCACATCTCTGAGAAGTTGAAAACCAAAATAAAACACAATACTCTAAAGGGCACACAGTTTATCTAATGGAGATGACTCTTCAATTCTCCATCCTATTTAAAGAGATTAGTTGTGAGAATTTAGGCTGTTGTCAGACTGGCTAACAACACTAAATGTCAAACGTAGAAAAAATATTTTTTATTATAAAAGTCTAACAGGCTTTATGAAAGAAATAAGTAGTTATGCATAAATTCAAAGTTAGAAGAAGAGTACTGAAACAAAATAATTTTTCGTTGGCCATGCAAATGATTCCAAAGAGGACAGATAAGAAATATCCAATTTCAGTTCAAAGTGGTATATGTACAAATGCCCTGAGTTTTTCTTTTTTTTTGAATTAAGAAGATTTAAAAAGGGTGTAATTTATTATTCAAGAATACTGATGAACGGCTGGGCACGGTGGCTCATGTCTGTAATCCCAGCACTTTGGGAGGCCGAGGTGGGCGCATCACGAGGTCAGGAGCTCGAGACCAGCCTGGCCAACATAGTGAAATCCCGTCTCTACTAAAAATACAAAAAATTAGCTGGGCATGGTGGTGGGTGCCTGTAATCCCAGCTACTTGGGAGACTGAGGCAGGAGAATTGCTTGAACCTGGGAGGTGGAGCTTGCAGTGAGCCGAGATCACACCACTGCACTCCAGCCTGGGTGACAGTGCGAGACTCCATCCTACCCCCCCCAAAAAAAAGAATACTGATGAATGATGCAATAAAATACATTTTAATTCATTCACTTAATCATTTGAGAGTCTACTTTGTGCTGGGCACAGTGTCAAATGTTGCATATACAGGGCGACTGGACAGGAGTATATTATTAACTATAAAAACATATATGATGTTACTAATCTCCTATCATGGAAAGTTGTAAGACAACCACATCTACCTTAACTTTTAATTGCTTCTTGGTCTTTTAGCTAAGATCAAGGGTAGTACTTTAACTCGAGTCAAACAGTTTGGCTATGACCACATGGGTTCAACAGACAAAACAGTTAAACATTCTGTTACTTAAAATAGGGCAATACAGTGATTATGTTTAGATAGCTGCTCAGACAGACTTTCATTAGATGGGAATACATCCTAGTTATCAAAATGGTATACAATATACAGAACAGCGTGCTCTATACTTCCATACTATCAACATGTGTGCATAAAACCACATATATTTATTTCCCCCAATACCAGGAATGCATGGTATTTGATATCTAAATTAGAGAGACTTTTCTATCTCTGTGTTAATGAAGTATCCACCAAATCTAGTTTTACTCTTTTTTAATGTTGAGACAGAGTCTCACTCTGTCACCCAGTTTGGGGTACAGTGGTGTGATCTGGCTCACTGCAATCTCTGCCTCTCGGGTTCAAGAGATCCGTCTGCCTCAGTAGCTGCCTAAGTAGCTGGGATTACAGATGTGTATGCCTGGCTAATTTTTGTATTTTTAGTAGAGACAGGGTTTCATCATGTTGGCCAGACTGGTCTCGAACTCCTGACCCCAGGTAATCCTCCTGCCTTGGCCTCAAAAAGTGCTGGGATTACAGGCGTGAGCCCCCATGCCTGGCCTACGCCTTATGCCCAAATAGCATAAGGAAAAGAGCTTGGTACAACTTACAAACTTTTGCAAAAATGCATAAAATCGGGAAACCTGCCCTTTAAAAATTAACATATGATTTGTGCGATTATAACATAAGTAAATTAGTCAACAATTTACAGCAGCTGAAGAAGTGGAGGGAGATTATAGACACTTACCAATTCTGGCACATTTCCAAAATATACCCAACAATCTGCATAGAATAAAAACAGAAAAAAAGTAGCTATTGATTACTCAGAAAGGTAAATCATTCTCTTGATATCATATAGGGAATTAATTGTATATTAACATATTAACCTTTAACACTTTGCTTCAAATTTGAAATCTGCTTGTTTGATGTTGAGCCACTATCCAAGTATGAAAGTAGGACACAATGGCATATCAACCATCAATGTACAGAAACTGCTATGAACTGGAATATAAATAGTGTCATAGGTCAAATCCAGGGCAAATTAATGAGAGTCGCAAAAATTTGTATAAGGGTTTACTATTCAGTTAACTTAAAGTACTCTACTTTCAAAAGCATAAAATGTACATGGCAATTTAAGCATCGATTTTGATAAAATGTTAAATGAACATTTTTTGGTTGAATGTGACACCAAAAACATTCCTATACTAAACTTTAATTTCGTAGAGAATGTAGCTCTAAAGTTAAATAATCCATAATAATGAATTCCAATGATGTTATTTAATTATGTGTCATTTACTAAGAAGGAATTAAAAATGTGCCTATATTTTCAATATAAGTAGAAAATCTCCTAGTTTAGAGGACACTCTATGTGAATTCACTAAATATGGCATTTAAAGCACATATTCTAGAAACAAGTATTAGAATGGAGACATATATTTCAATTGTATGAATGAATACATTATGAATTACATATTACATGGAATTATCACTTATTTGGCATGTATAACAAATCATTTTTGAAAAAAAGACCAACTGAGTCATCAATGAATAGAGATATCTTAAAAAGTAACACCGAGGACATTACTTTATTGGTCTGACAAAGTAAAAGAATTATAAATAGTGTCACATATGGTTGCAAATCAAGATAAATTAATATTATATTATATAAACTAGAATTATTATCTCAAGAAAATCATAATACTTAAATTCCAGAAAAATTTATAGCATATTCTTTTTTTTTTGCCGAAAGAGATGGCTGGCTAGTGAATCATTACATCTGAATGGGTAAGACTGACAGAAAACTCTGGTCAGTTAAGTTCTACATATGTTCCTCTTCTGAAGTATAACTTCCTGACCTCAAAGTAAAAGGTCTCTTAGCTTATCAACCATCAATGTATAGAAACTGCTATGAACTGGAATATACACAGTTTAGATTAAATGGAATTAGGCAAAAACATGAGTTTATTTCAAAGTATGAATATTCTGACAGGCTAAACAATTTTACTATAGAAATAAAATGACAAAAGCCATATACATCCCTGAAAATAAGCTAAAATAAAGGCCAAATTATGCTTAAATTCTATACTACTTACTGGTTGCATAACTGTGAGCAAGCTATAGTACCCACCCTCAAAGGGTTGTTATGAGGATGAAATGAGTGATTACACAGAAAGTCCTCAGAATGGTGACTTACATGTACTGTGTTCATACATAGGCTAAAGGTACATATGATGATAACTCTAGGTATCACTTAAAATTGGCTAACATTTCTTCATCAAACAATGGAATAGGTCAGGCATTTGCAAAGCCATGGCTCCTTCATTCTAGAACCCACCAAAAACCACAAGATCAAAAACTCAAGGTCTTTTTGGGTCTAACATTCTAGAAGTAACAAAATATCATTAAGAAACTGGTACAACAGGATTAATATATTAACAACCTTTATAAATGAATAAAGAATACTAACTTGGTAACTAAGAGACTTATCAGCACCACTTTAATTTTTTCCACATATTTCTCTACCTAGATATATTTCTGTAATACCCCAATTTTACTTTTACTTACACACACACACACACACACGAACCCTGTTAGTTGATTAAAAAAATGTAATTATGTTGCTTAGTTATTATGGCTAAATACCAATAAGTATATCTGCTGATAATGCTACCAGGTCTATGAAACCAGGATAAAGACCATGTAGTAATCTTCTCTTCTGCTGCTTAGTTCTGTATTATTTGAAGTAGCAAAAACTGAAGTTATTTTAAACAGTGAAGTCATCAAGAACTTGCTTTATTCAATCTGTCTAGATACCTCCACCTAACCATGGTATATATTCTCACTATAATAAAAGATTATGAGTCTCATAAAAACACGTAATTTTAACAGAAAGAGACTAGGCCTATAAAAATTTCTATACAAAATAATTCTTAGCTATAAATCAAAATAAAATGGTGCTTAACATGTATATAAGTAGAAATAAAGGTTTTTAAACAAAAAGCTTTCACACAGTTGACTGTATTAGTACATATTTTAAAATGTAAAAATAGGCAGGCTGTTTTATGTAGGAGAACTATACTACCACTCAACCTTTACTAGAAAGTTGGCAGCCCTGAGAACTCCTTTGTTAATGTAGCATGTTATGAATATATTCCTGCTCCCAAAGGAATGAGGAGCAGACATTTCCACATGCAACCTATTTCCTTTTGAAGAAGAATTTTCGTAATAGCATAGGGAAAGTATTCTACTACTATGTAATTATTCTTTAATGAGATAAACACTTAAATATCTTAGATGGACATTATGCATTATATTAGAATTCCATTAACTCATCAATAGGAATAAGTGTTTACTAGAGTCTACCATACGCTTTAATTCTAAGTTTACAGTTGGCAGGTACAGAAGGGAAAGATGAAATGAAACCTTCTACTTCAATAGAAAGACTTCATGTACAGCTAAGCAACAAATAATATAATTTCAACAAATTGGTGAATATTGAAGAATAAATGCAATAGGACTTTACTGAAAAAGGTGGAATGAAGAGAAGACAATGTCTACAAAGAAAATGGAGTATTATCATAAAAACTGATGGACAACTAACATGTATTTTCACCTTCAGTAGGTTAAATCCCTCATGCTGTTTTTTACTCTAACACATATTAGGTCACTTCTGAAATTTATCTTTTAGTTTAGTAAGATATTGTGAATATAAAGTTTTTGAATTTTTAACAGGAAGAAAATGAAAAAAGTTATTACAAAACCAAATTACATGTAGGAATTCAATTATGTAATAATTTATATGTTAACTTACATTCAACATCTGTAAGAACTAATTTAGGTGATTAGACATCATTAGTAACATACCCAGTTTTATTTCTGTCCAGGAGGCTGGGTGCCAAGGATCGAATATAAGCACAAGTACATATAAGCAGCAAGATTACAGTCAATAGACTCTGAAAGTTGAAAATGGCAGACTAGAAAAAAAAAAAAAAGAAAAATTAATATAATAAGAAAAACCGCATAAGTAAAAAATATTTGACAATTCCACATTTAGAGTCATGCTTTTATTTCTTCAAGAAGGCAAGCAGAACGACAAGTCTTGCAACATTTAAAACCAGAATCTTGAGGTATTCTACAGTCTTCAAGCTCTGCCAATAGCTAGTTTTATGGCCTTAGTGGAATTACCTTTTCTAAGTCTTTGGCTGGGTGGAGAATGGGAAGACAGACTCAAATGCTAACTAAAGTTTCTTTTAATTCTGATTTTTTTTTAGGATAAACATCCTTTAAATTTAAGCTATAATTTTCCATGAGCTGACAAATACTAGGCTAATAGATTTTGGAGAAAGAAAGCAAGTACCTGCACTTTCACTGTTGGATTTTTAAAAGTTATTCATTATAGGTTGAACATCCCTAATCCAAAATCCAAAATGTTCCAAAATCAGAATTTTTTGAGTGCCAAAATGATGGTAAAGAAAAAATGTTCATTGGAGCATTTTGGATTTTTGATTAGAGATGCTCAATAAGTAAGTATAATGCAATTATTCCAAAATCCCCCAAAAATCTGAAATCCAAAACACTCTGCCTCCAAGCATTTTGGATAAAGATACATAGCTGGTATTTAATAGTTCGAGTCCTATTCAAAAAGTTAAAATTTAACACAGGAATCACAAGAAACCATAAGTTTCGTAAGTTTCCACAGTCAAACAAAATCATAGGCTTCCAGTTAAAGTAAATGGAGGTGGACTTATTCTATTCAAAATTCAGCTCTAGCATCACCTTTTTAAGGAAGTTTCCTTGAATCCATCTGCCTCCCTTCTCTTATTTTATGTAGAACTCCCTTTTCTATTCTCATAGTAAACTGTTACCTTTATAATAATATTCATCTCTGAAGGGTGGACATTGTGTTATCAGGTTATCAGACTATGAATCTCCAGCACCAATCATATGCCTGTCTCACAGTAGAAGCCCAATAAGAGATAGTTGAACAAATAAAATGAAATTAAGAAAGTGCAAGAATATTACTGTATATGTAACAAAGAATAACATTTTCATCATATACAGGTAGATAAAATATGTCAATCTCATAAAACAGTCAGTAATATGCTTGTTTAGTAAACTTACAGGCACTTTCTAAAAAACAAACAAAAAATCAGGAATGAAACAAAGAATAAGACTTATGAAAAAACTTAGTTACATAAAATTGGTACTTGCGGCTGAGTGCTTATTTGAAAAGTCCTAAAGAATTTAGTGAGAAACAATTATAGATCTTAAGGAAATTGAGTAAGGTAGCTGGGTACATAATTAAAATATATACATCAATAGCCTTCATAATCATATTATCATTCAGGAGAAAGACAATGGAAAAATGATAGCATACAGAACGAACAACTAAAATACCTAGGAATAAGCTTAACAAGAAACGTGCAACATCGGCATCAAAGAAAAAAACGGACAAAATCTTAAAACATATGGAAGAACATAAAAGTAGAAGAGACTGTTGCTGTGGTTTAGAAACGGTTTTCTTGTCCCTACCAAAGCTCCGGTTGAAATTTGATCCCCATTAAGGTAGTGTTGGGAGGTGGGGCCTAGTGGGAGGTGTTTGGGTTTGGGGGGTAGATCTCCCATGAATGTCGGGGTGCTCTTCTGCAGTTAGTGAGATCTCATAAGATGGATTAGTTTTCCAGGAAATGAATTCTTTCGGGAGACAGTAGGTTGTTATAAAGCCATGAGCTCCTCCCTCCTTTTCACCACGTCTGTTTCCCCTTTGACCTTCTCAGCCACGT